GACTGGGAGGGGGTGGGGGAGAGGGGGACCGGCCGGCTTCAGCCTTGCGTGTCAGCAGCTGCCCAGTCTTCCTGGGGGAATGGACAGACTTCTTAAGCCCACCATCCTGCAGGGAATCAATGGGGTTCCCCGATGGGAAATCCTCAGCGAGCTGCAAACTTTCTAATGCAGCCTCAGGTCGCAAGCATCCTTTCTGCTTTAGTGTGTTGGTGTGGAGGGGTGGGTATGGGAGGATAGAGCCTGTGAGGAGTAGAAGTCTTACACTTTCCAGCCTGTCTGGTCTGTCACACATATGCAAATATATCCACACATATTTATAGCACACACATTAATACACACTTAGAAATAAACAAATATATATGCATGCCTACATATGTATATACACATATTTAACCACAAAGATATATAAGCGTACACACACACACACACACACGAGCAATCTTTAACGTTTCTGCAGCCTTGCAGCCTGAAATTCTCAGGAGCCTATCATTCTGTAGTGCTCAAATGATTCATCTGCAGCTTGGGGGAGGAAGACCCTGCGACCACGTTTGGCCAATTCCTTACTTCTTGAGTAATCTTTTCCATTTAGATATCTGTGGGCTTTGTTTCCTTCCATAACAACTCAATAACAACTGCTACCTCAGTTTACCAGTTGCTTATCATGTATTAAAAAGCTGCTATCCAACATACTGATATTCCATGCTAATGGAAGTGATGACTGATTTGTAGATGTCAAATGGGAAATGGAATAATTCATATACGCCTACAATAGCTAGTTTATGAAAAAACTAGCCCTTCTCCTGGACTGGCATGATTCAGAAGTGGCCTTGGTAGCAAGAGAGAGAGCTGAGATGTCAGCAGATCTTACAATGGGTTGGAGAGAGCCATTGCTAAGTCCTGTGGCGTAGCTAATTGGCACAGGGGTGATTGGGAGTTCACCGCCATACTTCTCCCGAGTTTGACATCTTTTCTAGCCTTGAAGAATGACTGCATTTTTTCTACATGGTAGTCATAGTTCGTGATCATCTGATGAAACTCTTAGTTTAGTAAGATTCTCTTTAGTGGGGCTTTCAAAACTTTTCCCAGAGAGTTATTTCCGATGCTAGCCCTTTGTACATTTAACTTTGACACTTCATATATCTTGCTGTAATTTATTGCAACGTCTTTTTCTCCCCCACTAAGCTATATAAACTCTTTGAGGGCAGTTTCTCACCATTGCATCCTCAATACCTAATGTAGTGAGTTAGAGTAATGGCTCAATAAGTAGCAGATTAACCCTACAGATTAATTGTTGGATTCTACTATGCTTTTATAATTACAATTTGGATTATTTTACAAAGAATTACTGTTTAAAATGGGTTTCAAAGGCTATCTGTTCCTTGCATCTCCATTTAAAGCAAGGAGTCTTCAATCAGCTGAAACTAAAAAAAAAAAATTAAAGCTTCATAAATAATGCAATATAATACTGAGATCTGTGGTGTATTACCCCTCCCCCCCCAAAAAAAAAACAGAAGGCACTTTTCCTATCTTTGAAAGACAGTCAGTAAAACACATATTTCAAAAGCTAGTAGGTAAAGTTATCGAGCAGCTTCTCTTCTGCCTACTTGAGAGCTAGAACCCACTCTACTCCATGGAATTTCATGGGTGTCTGATAGAATGAACTCAGCTCATCAGAACTGGAGCTTGTTACCTACCATTGGATCTCTGTCTTCTTTACATAAATCTTGCTTCCTTTAATAATAACTTTAAGAATAAACTCAACCAATGCTCACAATTTGCTCTTACTTGACAGCTCTCAGGGTTTAAAGCATGTAGTTTTCCAGGACTACTTCCAGGCAAAAATATTGAGATGGGCAAGTCTTTCTTCAATGTCAGTGCTCCCTTTTTACCACTGGCCAAGAAGCGTGTGCCCTTTGCTATAGCAGCCACCCACGATCTTCATTTTAGCCCTATCGAAGGACCAAGCAGGAATGGCCTCTACACTTGATCTTTGTCAACAATATTCAGTGATAAAAGCTCAATTTATTGAAGGTTTATAGTGTACCAGGCCCATCTCATCTAGTAAAACATTTAATCTCTGAAACAGACCTGTGAGATAGATGCTATTAGTATCACTTCCGTGTTTACGTTTGAGGAAAGAGACACAGAGAGACTGAGTAGTTCATGCAAGATCTCATGACTAGCCAGAGTGATGGAGGGAGGATCAGAAGCCAGGTAATGTGTTGCACTAGCCCATGTTTTAACCCCTTACTTTTTACTTCCTCCCCAGGTACCAAGGAAGGGATGTGGTTTTTATAGTCAGGAGACCTGGCATAGGGAGCATTGGTATGAATTTTGGTTCTACCACTTGGGAGCTAAAACCCTAAGCAAATTGCTACTATAAAATGACAATAAGACTCCCTAGATCAGCCTTTCTTCACCTTTGAATTCGTGAGATGTTAGATTTATATATGAACTTAGGGGTCCAAAGTAGGTCCTTTGGCCTATTTAAGAACAGTTCCTAATCAGGATTTAGACTACTGTTCTCCCTATTCTTCATCTCAGTCACTACCACACAGACCTATTAGGTGCCCTAATGCATGGCAGGCACCTATATAGTGGTAGGTATATAATAGGTGCTCAATAAAGGCCATTGTTTCTTCCTATCAAAACGTACTGAAAAAAAGGAGATATATATATAATACTCTTTGTAATACTTTAAGCAATAAAACAAAATTAAAAAAAAGAAAAAAAAGGAAAAATAAAAATAAATAAATAAAAACATACTGTCCCATGAAAACTTTCCATAGGATCAAAATGTATCAGCCAGTACACAGATGGTGATTGCTTTTTCAAAGAAATTAACCATCTCCAGTGTTGGCTGCCAGTGTTTAAAAATGGTATAAAAATAAGTCAATAAATAAATTAAAATGGTATAGATAGAAGCCCCCGGAAGAAACCAAGATGGCAGAGCTTCAGATCTCCCACTTATCCCATTCATGTCTTAACCCAGTTATTTTCTGTAAAAGGAATTCAGCAAATTAGCCACAGTTTCAGACAATGTCAGAGCAATGGTAAAATAGTTTAGGTAGGAAACTTTCACATCACATTCTCCAAATATCTTCCTACTCCCCCTCCACATACAAAGTCAACCCTGCAGACAGGCTTAAAATGTGTCTTGTTTATATATAATTCCTTTGTAAAATATCTCCCAACAGTACAAATAATTAGAAATAACTAAATGAGATGATGTTTTTCTGTTCATCTCACATATTTCAATACATTAATAATACAGTTATACTCTGTTTTAAAAAAAGACAAGCTCAATATACATTTCAAAAATTGGTGAAAATGTTTGAATTATGAGCAAAATGTATCTTCTCTAAATGACCCTTTTAAAGCAAAGGAAACTATAGCTGGAAGCTTCAATAACCTCTACCAAGTCAATCAGGAAATACTTTTATCAGTGACTTGATGGACTCCAGCAAAATTATTTTTAACTTCCAATAGGTCAATCAGGATAACGCTAATGGCATGCTCCAAATATAAACAGTGTAATTTCCTTATTTCCAAAGAGGCAAGAATAGAAATTTGAACATGATCTATACAGTAGTTTTCTTCTGATATTTAAAGGCCAGTGACTCTACTGGTCAGATTTTCCTCAAGTCCTAACTGCAAAAATCCAGTCCTATTGTACCCAATGGACACTAATATATTTGAGGCCACATGTCCTGGATTTTGCTTGGAAAAGGGTGGCCATCACATGTCTACTGCTTGGAATACTAGAGCTTGTAGTCAGGAATCCTGGTTCTGCCACAAACTAGCGATGTGATGTTAAGCAAATTACTTAACCTCTCTGTACAGTAGCAGTACCTGCCTCAGAGATTGTAGAGAGATTAAATAATGTTACACTTTTAGCATTTTTTCTGGTACATATTAAGTTCCCCCTAAATGCTCTTTTTATCATCATTATTGTTCATCTCTAATCCCTGCCCTGCTTATATTCTGCATGTCCCAGAGTTCCCTTCACCAAAGGACTGATTCACCTAGCCTTCACTTTAGCCTACAAATGGCTGGGCAAAGGAATTTTTCGGGCAGTTTTTATTTTTTTAAATATATTTTATTGATTTTTTACAGAGAGGAAGGGAGAAGGATAGAGAGTTAGAAACATCGATCAGATGCCTCCTGCACACCCCCCACCGGGGATGTGCCTGCAACCAAGGTACATGCCCTTGACCGGAATCGAACCTGGGACTCTTCAGTCCACAGGCCGACGCTCTAGCCACTGAGCCAAACCGGTCAGGGCTGGGCAGTTTTTAAATTAAAGGAGTCATGCAAACAATGTGAGCTAGCAGTCAGAGCAGAAGTAGAACCATCAGCGGCTTGGTGGCCAGCATCAGCTCTGTCTCATATATGGACCTACCTGTCCTGAAGCATCTGCACAAATGCAGCAATTCTGTTAGCAGTCAGAGCAGAAGTAGAACCATCAGCGGCTTGGGGGCCACCAGCATCAGCTCTGTCTCATACATGGACCTACCTGTCCTGAAGCATCTGCAACTCTGCCAAATTCCTTTTGTGGTGACAGAGAGGGCAATTGCTCCACTGCCCACTCCCTTCAGTTCCTTTCTCGGCCTCTTGCCTTCTCCTCTGCCCCACAGGCTCTTGCATATGCAGAGGCCTAGGAACTGCCTGTGCCTGACTTCCGGAAGCAGTGTTCCACGGAGATTGGTGATGACTTCATCCATAGGAATCTGACTGCTGGTTTTAAATGGCAAATTTGCCTTTGTTCAGTTTGACCTGACCTTTTCTTTCTTTTTGCTTGGTTTGTCCTAAAACAAATGGTCTTCTTCCTTCTTCTGTTTCCAAAAGACCAACTTAGACAAGTTTTGATAGGCCTAGCCCAAGGCGGGGGGCGGGGGGAAGCGACTTGATTTGAGGGAACACAAAAATATGCTGGCCTTCAAAAGCCTTCATTTCATGTAAAGTACCAAATCCACCACCCAATCAATAAATATATCCGAAGCACTGCAAGGTGCTGAGGTTTCATAGATGGATACAGCATGTCTGTTTCCTCAGGAAACTCATGCTCTCAACGAGCAGACAAGAGATGGCTTATAGTCACCATAAATAGCAATAAAAGGTGACATACGATTAGGGCAGTATGTATTTTACTGACCATGAGGGCTACAGAAATTTGAAATGGAGAAATAAAACTATCCTTAGGAATTGCTGTAGAAGGCCTGATGGAACGCATGACCGGCTCCGAGATAGCTAGCTGAGCAGACTGTGTTAACTCGCACAGGCACGGAGAGCCACAACCGCTGCAGGTTTCCTTTGTTCTGCTTTCCCCTTCCCCACTCAGAAAACCTCTGCCTGCACTGAGATAGTAATATGGTCTTTGTGATGAGAGTCCCACATCTTTTCAGGCTACCGCAGGCTCTTAAATAAACCAATTTTTTTCTTCCACCAAAAAATAAAAGAAGGCCAGGTGGGAGAAGAAGCTTGAGGCAAACATTGAGAGATAAAGAGAATTTAGATAAGCAGAAGAGAAAGAAAAGAAGAAATTCCCAGCAAAGGGGCACAGCACAAAACCAGGGCTCATTACCCAGAAGGTTCCCAACAAATACGGCTGAGGCAGGGCAGAGAGGCAAGGAGGAGGTTAGGAGGAAAAGTAGGGAGAGCAGCTGAAAAAAGAAGCCAGGAGGAACAGGAGTGCTGTGGTCCATTCGCAGGGGTGGATAGTAGGGGATAGTGAGATATACCATTTGGGGAAGACGGGAAAGCCAGGTTGTTGAGGACGGATTTCTCTGTTTCAGCCATTTTAGCAGTAAGAGGTGGGGGCAGAGGAATGGTAACATGGAAGGTAAGATAAAACCAGAAATCCAGAAATTTCAAGCAATAAGAGGTTAAAATGATCCAGTTCTGTGTTTGAAGATGATGATCATGTGTTCATAGCCTGGAAGCCTGGAAGGACTGTTCTACACACCTGACTCGAGGATTAGGAGAAGCAATCCTCCCCACTCCACCCCCATCTCCCAGCTCATATGAAGAAATGAGGAAGGGGCTTGGCATGCCTTTCTTTAGTGCCTGGGTCCCTTCCTTCCTTCATCACAGCTGCTCAGCCAAGATGGACCACTCTTCTGAGTGTTAGGATGTCATTTAAAAAATGAGTTCCACAGAGAGTGTTCATTATCTTCTCATCGTGAACACTTACATGTGTTAGGTATTATAATACTTAACTTCAAAATACTGTAGACTGATTTATGTCTGGCACAATCTACATATCCTCCTATCCAGGAGTCAGCAAATATCTCCTGTCCTCACTGTATTAGTTTCCTAGGCTGCCATAACAGATTACCAAACACAGTGGCTTAGAACAACAGAGATTTACTTTCTCACAGAGGCAAGGAGTGGGCTAGAATTCTGGAAATCAAAGTGCCAGTAGGCTCTAGAGGAGAATCCTTCCTTGCTTCTTTAAGCTTCTCATTGTTCCTGGTGTTCCTTGCCTTATAGATGCATCACTCCAATCTCCACCTCCACCTTCATGTAGCCTTCTCTTCCGCGTCTCTGTGTTCAAATTTCCATCTGCTTTCTTTTATGAAAATGTGAGCCTTTGGATTTAGAACCCGCTCCAAATCCAGGATGATGATTTCATCTCAAGATCCTTAACTAATTATACCTACAAAGACCCTATTTTCAAATGAGATCACAGTCTGACGTCCTGGTAAACATGAATTTGGGGTGAGGGGAGACACTATTCAACCTACTATATCTATACTAATAAAAGGGTAATATGCTAATTAGACCGGGTTGACTGGACATCTTCTGGTCGTCCTGCCTTCCCAAACACAGTGGCTTAGAACAACAGAGATTTACTTTCTCACAGAGGCAAGGAGTGGGCTAGAAGTCTGGAAATCAAAGTGCCAGCAGGCTCTAGAGAAGAATCCTTCCTTGCTTCTTTAAGCTTCTCGTGGTTCCTGGTGTTCCTTGCCTTATAGATGCATCACTCCAATCTCCACCTCCATCTTCGTGTAGCCTTCTCTTCCATGTCTCTGTGTTCAAATTTCCATCTGCTTTCTCTTATGAAAATGTGAGCCTTTGGATTTAGAACCCACTCCAAATCCAGGATGATGATTTCATCTCAAGATCCTTAACTAATTATATCTACAAAGACCCTATTTTCAAATAAGATCACATCCTGAGGTCCTGGTAAACATGAATTTGGGGTGAGGAGAGACACTATTCAACCTACTATATCTATACTAATAAAAGGGTAATATGCTAATTAGACCGGGTCGACTGGACATCTTCTGGTCGTCCTGCCTTCCTTCTGGGCAAAGCCACGGTGATGGGGGCTGAAGCAGAGGTGGTTAGGAGTGATCAGGCCGGCAGGGGAGAGCAGTTAGGGGCGATCAGGCCAGCAGGGGCGTGCAGTTAAGGATGATCAGGCCGGTAGGGGAGGGTAGTTAGGGGCGATCAGGCCAGCAGGGGAGGGCAGTTAGGGGCAATCAGGCAGGCAGAGGGGTTGGGGTGATCAGACAAGCAGGCAGGTGAGCAGTTAGGAGCCAGAGGTCCCGGATTGCGAGAGGGATGTCCGACTGCAGGGATCAGGCCTAAACTGGCAGTCGAGCATCCCCCAAGGGGTCCTGAATTGGGACATGCTGGGATGAGGGACATGCCCCCCCCCCCCGCATGCACAAATTTCATGCACTGGGCCTCTAGTTCATAAATAAGCAAGTATCCTTTGTCTAAATGTCATAATTTGGCTTACAGTACTGAACTATTTCTCTATTATAGAGTAAAAATACCAGAAATAATTTACTTAATGCCAAAGATTATTTGGGTTTTTTTGTAATTATCCCTCTAAATAATGTTATCAGAATTTCTCACATTATGACTCTATCATTGCACAGAGCTGGCTTTTTGTTTTTCTTCTATTTGGCGGGGGGCGGGGGGGGGGCGTTATTAGGCCTCTGAATGTCAAAGTGTTGCCTGTTATTCAAGCTTCCAATGCAAAATGTTAAACTGTCACTCTTAGAAAGATCTACTATTTTGGACACTTCTAGGTCCCAGCAATATGGTGGTGAAAAAGATTAAGTCCATGATTTCATGTAGCTTCTTCTCATGAGTGCACAGATAGTAAAGACAAGTGCATAATGATATTATTTCAGAGAAACATGAATTAAGAAATAAGAATCCGGCCTAGCCAGTGTTGCTCAGTGGTTGAGCATCAACCTATGAACCAGGAGGTCATGGTTCAATTCCCTGTCAGGGTACATTCCTGGGTTGCAGGCTAGATCCCCAGTGTGGGGCATGCAGAAGGCAGCCAATTAATGATTCTCTCTCATCATTGATGTTTCTATCTCTCTTTCCCTCTCCTTCATCTCTGAAATCAATAAAAATATATTTAAGAGAAAGAAAGAAAGAAAGAAAGAAAGAAAGAAAGAAAGAAAGAAAGAAAGAAAGAAAGAAAGAAAGGAAGGAAGGAAGGAAA